GACAAAGAGCTGAAGGTCTGGCAAACATTCAGTCTGAAATCTCCACCCAAACTAAATCATTTAAATCATTTCACCCCATTTGGATTGCTTTTACCCTCACGATGGACTTTTTACTGCTGCCAACAGCTGGAGGAGTGAAGCTGATAAACTGCTGTTATGTAGATGTTTTTCATGAGGCAGATTAAAGTGTTGCTGCACATAAATATGTGTGTATATTGAATATTGAATGATTTATGTGTCGTGTGTGTGTGTGTGTGTGTTCTGTAGGAGTGCACTCCGTTTGCGGTCATTGGCAGTAATACAGTGGTGGAGGCCAGAGGTCAAAGGGTCAGAGGTCGTCTTTACCCCTGGGGTATCGTGGAAGGTCCGAAACACTCTAAACAAGTACAACAAAAAGGGGATTAATGCTTGGCAAATGGATTGTACATATTTATATTATGTTGAAATTACTATGTCAGAGGTGCCATGATGATAGGGCTGGCCGATAAACAATATCATATCAAGACTGTGATAAATGTGATTTATGTCGATAACGATGATAAGCTCTGGACGTTTTTACTCTGATTCACCTCAGAAGCTTTTCATAGTTCCTTCTGAGAAAATACTACAAGCAAATACACACCGAAACTCAAAGATCTTTGGCAAACTGCCAAAATAAAAGTTCATTTGAACTTAATTAAATTATGACAGAAATATATTACTATTGTTTTTCTCAAAGTAATAATAATAATAATAATATTTTTAAGGAATATCATACAACCAAGATATTTTTTCATCCATGTTTTAATGTATGCAGCCTCATCTTATTTGATAAAAAAATGAAAATGCATACAAATGTTTTGTTGCAAATGAATTGTTATATTTTCTTTTGATTACATTTAAAAAGATGTACTAAGTTGTTAAAGTTTTATATGCACATTTTTTAATGATACAGTTGTAGAATATCATAAATCAGATAATACAGAAAAAAATGGAAACACAGAATTTATGAAAAAATCTCATGTATTTCTTGTGGCCCTAAATTAAAAGGAGTTCATTTGTGAAAAAAAAAAGTTTATATTCATTCTCAAGGTCTAACAAACATGGAAAGCTTTCCTTCCCCATTAATGATTAAAAAAAAAAATGTTGATAATATTTTTGGCCATATCACAAATCCATATACTGAAGTGTGCATGCTTTTTAGGCCAATATTGCCCAGAACATGCTTAGTTTGTCCTAATACTAGTTTACTGCAAGAGTTTCTGGCCATTAAAGTATGCACTTTATCATCATTAGTAAGCACAGTACATACTGCTCATATGTAGTAGTGGTGCTACAACATGAACTGCAGTGTTCCAGGGATCTTTACGTAAAATTGTCTTCCAAATGAATAAATGTAAATGTCGTTTGTGTGTTTGTGAACTCTAATGCATTTCTTTGTGTGTGTTGTTCAGTGGAGAATCAGTCTCACTGTGACTTTGTG